TACAAACAACAGCCACAACCATTTCCTGAGCACGCACTTATCCTGGGCCTGGGCTGAGCACTCTACGTGAGTGATCTCATTTACTTTAATCCTCACTATGATGTTTGCAAGGCAGGTATAATTATTTCTACTTTGCAGGTAGAAGTGAAGCTACTTGTCAAAAAGTCGTGCCACCCCAGGCCTGCCTCCTAATCCTGGCTCCATCCCTTGACTAGCTTTGGGCATGCCATGTAACTGTCCTGCTTCAGTGTCTGTCTCAGTAGGATGGGAATGACAGGAGTGGCTGCCCCAGGAGGTGGTTGTGAGGGCTCCCTGAGATTCCATGCAGAAAACAGTGTTGGGCACACAGGAAACCAACAACAGCAATAAATTTATTATTACTGTCACCAGAGAAATAAATTATGTATTTGATCTCATTGACAAATGGCATCCAGGGATACCCTTCTCTACGCCTTTCCATCTCTAGTAAGGAGGTACAGGGAATGAGCAGCTTTCATCCTTGTTAAGGGACATGGAGAGGTGGTTCAGGTTAGTGGGGCCCAGGGCCAGGAGGCATGGCTTTGGCTCTGACCCTGATCCCAGCCAGCACTGAGGCTCAGGCGAGGACCCTCCATCTCTCAGGCTCCCAGGATCTCACCCCAGCTCCAGCCCTTCCCCATAGTAGCCTCATCCCTGCCTCAAGCTGGTCACTTGAGGCCATCGGACAAGGATCTGTGCAGCACCTGTCACAGAGACCTGGGCAGGGACCCAGAGGCTCACTTCCAGCCTGGCTTTATTTCTGTGAGGTAACAGTGGAGACCTGCAAAGGACACACACCCACCTAGCCACTGTCCCTCCTCAGCAGTGTCTCTAACCATAAATCAGAGTTGACTTTCCTCTGGGAAATTCCAATATATGAAAATAAGCTATAGGATCCCAGAAAGTGAATGATATTCATAGACATCATAGTCTCTTTCTCTAACGAACTCCTACTCAGCCTCTAAGGCCCCAAACAAATAGCCCCCATGTACAGGCCACACTGTTCGCAATATACTATGCACATATAAAACTACCGTGGCATTTTATACATTTAGATGTAGTTGGACATTCACTTACTTGTCTTTCTCTTAGTAAAATTGCCTTCACCAAGGACAAAGACCTTGGTCTTAATCACCAGCCTTTTATTGAATATACCATGAGCCACAGGCTGTGCTAAGGACTTTTCCTAGCTACATTCTCTCATAGCAATCCTGCAAGACAGATATTGTTGCTCATCTTACAGATAAGAAAGCTGAAATCCAGAGAGGTTAAGTCACTTGTCTAAAGTCACATGGCTGGCAAATGGTAGCATCTTTTTCCAACCCTGCATGCCCAAGTCAGCTCAGAATCCCTGATCCTGTAGCTATTCAACAAATGTTTGTTGTGTTCATTAAAAAAAAAAAAAAAAAAAAAGGTCAGATCCGAGCATGGTAGGTGAGATGTGGGCTTTGAAGGACAGGCAGAGTTGAGTTAGGCTGAACTCCAGTACTAGTTAGAAAAGTACAATGTGTGTGTGTGTGTATGTTAGAGAGAGAGAGAGAGAAACAGATATGTATCCATTGCCATTGAATTGACTCTATGGCTGACAGGAGAGTTCATATGAAGGAATAGCAGAAGAGAATACTGAAAAATAAGTTGGGAAAGGTAGGTTGATGCTAGATGGATAAAGGCCTAGACTGCCCAGCTAAAGAGGCTGAACTTGTCAGAACTTCAAGGACACAGCCATCTCTGAGACTCCAGCAGGTCTTCCAGATTCCCTGACCCAGTGAGCCACCTGGCACCACCTGACTTCTAACCTCACATCCATCTTCCTGCCTAAACATCCCAGCACCAGGGTCACCTCCCTGGGGCACACTGGAGGGCTGAGGGGGTGGCCCTGGGAGGATCAGGGAGGGGGCAGTGCTGAAGGTCAGTGAGGCAGGCACGCGCCCCTAACGGAGGTACTGGAGCAGCACCGCTGGGCACAGACACAGGCAAACACGTTTGAGCAAATTGGTACGCCATAAAAGTCTATTACAGCAAATCAAACAGCAGTCAGCATGACAGCCATTAGCTTGAAATGAATACACGGGGACTTAATGAGGTCTGTCGAGGCTGGCTTGGTGAATTAAGTTGCCAATTCTAGCAGGATTTCCCTTTTCTTTACGGACTTGAAAGCATCTACGCTGCCTCGTTAGGACTTCGACAAGTGAATTGCCGGGCCTTTCACCCTGATAAAATGGATAATTACATGGAGAACAGCTTAGTGAGGGGAGTGGGGTGGGCAGGAGGGGAACCAGAACAAACAAACCCAAACACACACCTGCCTGGCTTCTCCTGAGCTGGGGGCTGGACCCGGCAGAAGCTTTCAGAGGGAGTGGGGGCCCAGGAGAGGCAGGCAGTGGGGCAATGCCTGGTCTTGAACTGCCTCCCATTCCCTGCTGTTCCTGGCCTGAGGACTTGGGTCCAGGTGGGCCATGTCTCCAGGCAGCCATGGAGGGGTTGAAAGTTCACATCCAAGATGGGCTGCCCTCAGCACCTCTCAGAAAACCTCTAGTGGGATCCTCCAAGGCTCCCCAGGCCTGGCTGTTCTCAACATTACCAGAGGAATTTGTTAAAAATGCAGCTTCCTGGGCTATCTCTCCCCAGCCTACTGATTCACAACTGCGGGGGTGGGGAATATGCTTCCTAACCAGTCCCCTGGGAAATTCTGCTGGGGCATGTTTGGGACCCTCTGATTCATCACTTCCCCAACACGCAGTGCTAGACGGCTGGAGGGAAGTGGTCCTCTTACTTCTGCTTGCATAACTCCAGGGATGGGGAGCTCAGCACATTCTCAGCAAGGCAGGGGCACAGACTGTGTGTGCATGGGTGTGTGTGGGCAGTCTTATTATTAGGAAGCTCTTCCTTAGATAGACCTGGATTTGCCACCTTGTAACTTTCTCCCTGTGCCAATCCCTGGGTTCTGCACACAATAGTCTCCATCATTATTAGGGCCCTAGATGGCTGAGATGGCCAAGAGAGGAATTGAATGGATGGAGGTGGCCACCTGAGCTTCTCCGCCATCCTGCAAAGAATGATAAGGTGCTGAAGGATGGGAAGGAGCTTCTCCTGCTGGGTTTTGTCCTCTCATCATGTGATGTCAGCCCTGGAAGGGGCTGGGTTCAACTCCCTAGTTTGAAAGCTGTAGGGCCTGAAGCCAGCAGACTAGAACCCAGGTGTCCTGACTCCAGTTTTTCTCTTCCCACGAAACAGCACAAGAGCAACCACTGCTTACCTCAGCCAGACTCTGCTGGAAACCCACCTCCTCCAGGAAGCCTGCTGAGATTTCTCTGATCACCCTGGCAGACCCTGATTCACACCTAACAGGGTCTGCAGTGCTCTCCCACCCCATTTCTCTGGCTTGCATCCTCACCCTGTTCACATTTGCAGGGTCCTTTGCTGCTGAATCACACTGTAAAGAGCAGGGGCCTGGGGTTTCCAGGGTGACCTGAATGCAAGCAGGAAACTTTGGGCTCATTTCGGGGCCAGGGACCAGTAGACTCTGGGCTGGTACTCCAGCTGCAGTCAGAGCCAGGCAGCTAGGTTCCAGCTCAGGTGACCACACCAGGCCAGGGCTGGTCAATGCCAAGATGCCTCAGATCAGGAGTGGCCAGGCTTCCGTCCAGCTGATATCACATCCCCACTGGCCACACTGAGCAGCCCCAAGCAGGGCATCGAGTATCAGGCCACTAAAGCAACCAGGGATGTTTACACATGAGCAAGTAAACCACATAGGCCTTCCTCCAAGGACGGTGTGTCCTTCGCAGCTGGCCCCTCTCAGCCTGCCCTCTCCTTGTCAGATGAGTATCAGGCAGGCCACTGTATCCACCTGCCCTTTGTTTTCATTAGATAAGGAGGGCCGTGGCACAGAGAGGTGAAGTGACATGCCCAAACACACCCAGCAAGCTGGGAACAGAGCAGGGGCTGGACCCAGGGTCTCCTGCCTCTAGTTCTAACTCCTGTCATTCCACATTCCTGCGGCCTCCCAGGTCTCTGCACAATGACAGCCTGGCTCAGAGCCAAGCCCACAGCAGACATTCAATAAATATTTGTTAAATAAATGAATGAATGATTGAAGAGACTCTCTCCTTGGAGGCACAGGCCTTTGGAGAATCCCAGGGGATTCCAATAGGGCCGAGTGTTGGAAGTCACATCTCCTGAAGCAGGAGAGAGGAAAAGGCTGGCCCGCAGCCCAAGGGCGGGAGAGGAGGGACGTGACCCCTCGTCCCCTTGCCAGTGCGGCTCCCTGCTGCCCTATGAGAGGGAAGACAGAGGGCAGCCATGCCTGCCAGAATGGCAGCTGAGCAATGGGTCCAAGGCTCATTAACTCTGAGCCATGCCCTTGGTTTCTGAGCCCAGGCCCGGAGTGCAGGCTGGCACGTAGAGACCCTTAATTAAATTAGGGAGACTTCCAAATGAGAGAGAGCAGGAGCCAAGCTGCAGTCCCTGGGCACACTGGCCACAGCTCAGGGCACCCAGCTCCCATGTTTAGGACTGCGGGCTCCCCAGTTCTCTCCCGCCCCAGGCAGGTGAAGGGCATGGCGCCTCTGCTGCATCCCCACCTGCACATCTGTCCTCTCTTCCATCTGGTGCCAGCACAGGACCCTTGGCTCACAGCTCAGTAACAGAGGCCAGGGAGTGGGGTGTATGAGCAAGACCTTGTCACCCTTGAGGCAGGCTAAGCCTGCCCTGGAAGCCAGGAGGCTCGAAGTTAAAGCTGTGTGACCTGGGGCAAGTCACTCTCCCATGCCCAGCCTCATCCATGAACTGACCATGATATTCTCTCAAGACTTTTTACTCCCTGATCACTCATTGGATCAAGGGGTTAGAACTCAAATGACATGGTGCCAACCTGTCTTTCCAGAGGGTTCTATCTCCCACTGTTCCCATCCCAACCCTTCACTGCCACCCCCAGCCCAAAACCCCAAGGGCAGCCCCAAGGGACACCCAGCGAGAAGCCCTTTACCCTCCCGCTTCAGAGTCTTTGAATCACTAACTGCCAGACCATAAGACTGCCATCAGCCACCCAGGCGAGGGGCCGCAAGCAGTAGGAACCCTGGTGCCATCAGGAGCTGGCAGCCAGCTTATTAACGAACCGTTTGTAATGCAATAATTTGTACTTCTCAATTACCAGCAATGGCTTGATTTTACATGCATGGACTCATGCAAACATACTCAGAGTACACAGTACAGGGGCCTGGGAGACCATGGTGGAGAGCGTGGGGCTAGGGAAAGCCCCTTCCTAGAACTGTATGCTCCCTGAGTCCTGGAGGGACCTGATTCTGGCCAAAGCAGGAAGGTCTGGTGTTAGGCCTGCCCACCCACCCTGCCCAAGGCCCATATTTGGATATGAGTGGAAGGAAAGAGGGTGCAACACCCGCTTCTCCCAACTCTTGTTCCACCGTTGACTCCAGCTGGAGGTGTGGGGCTCAGCCTCCAGCATAAGGCTCCTAACCTACCGGCCCAACTGCTCTTCCCAACCCCAGGCTGGGCCCTGACCCCGGGTACCAGCATGTTCACCAACCTGCTCAGAATTGGCACCTGGGCTGCGGTCTGGGCAGAAGAGCCAGAGCTGTTCTCCCCACCTGACTCTTCACCTACACCCTGGTGGTCTGGGGAGTAGCAGGTCTTCGATACCCCCAAGGGCGACCCTGGTGGCTCCTACCTCAGGGATGCGGACGCTGTAGGGCTGATTGTGAAATGTGGGTGCGTTGTCATTCACATCCCCGACCTGGATGTTCACCTTCCGTGTGATCACCTGGCAAGAGAAAGGCAGGCAATTAGCACTGCCACCTGACTCTGGCCTCTTCCACCCTAGGGGCCCAGAAATCCTGTGACCCCTAGGAACATGCCTCTAGGGTCCCAGGGGACACTCACCCCCTGGTGGTCGCTGACAGAGAACTCCACGGTGAACTCTGACTTGGTCTGAAAGAAAAGTGAGAGAGGGAGGGGGGCAGTTAGTCGGCGCTGAGGTCCTGGGTCCTGGGTCCTGGGCCCTAAATGGGGCGGGAGGGGCTCCAGGATTGCCCTAGGAGCTTGCCTGGAACCAGGCATCCAAAGGCTTCCCTAAAATACTAGCATTGCCCTTTGGGTTAGGGAAGCAGTGTGGAATATGGATCCTTGCTTTAAGAGAGCAATAAAAGACAGAAGTCAAGCATCCTGGGTGCTAGTCGTGGCTCTGCCTCTAAGATGCTGTGTGACACTGAGCAAGTCACTACACACCTCTATGGTTCCTTCCTCAAAAAGAGGGTAAGGGTTGGGGATGTGTTCACACCTTCACCTTAACTTGCTAAGGGTTACCATGCCGTCAATTCCTGCTTCTCTGGATATTGGGGGAATATTGACCCGGGGTAGGGTAGACTTGTACCCTCCATGGAGCCCCATTCTACAAGGGATGAACCCAGGGTCACTGTTCTTCTTGCCTCTCCAATGTAGCTGCTTGCTTGGAGACACCTCTAACTACCCACGCCAACCCTTAGTCCAGACACCAGCATTGGCCCTTGAAGAGGAATACCATTCAGGCAGAAAGATGCCACTTTGGCATCAGAATGGAGTCTTAGAGGAAGACCCCAAAAGATGGTGGGCCATCCTTCCCCCAGAGTCTCCTGTCCCCAGGAGAGAACTGGGGCAGGGGTATGGGCAAGTCATACCTCTCTGTCCAGTGGCTGCCGGAGCCACACCACGCCGGTGTCAGGCTCCACTGCAAAGAAGCGAGAGGCCTCCTCCCCAGACACGCCAAACACCAGGGGGTCATTGTCCATGTCTCGGGCCAGCAACTGGGTCACAGAAGAACCTGGAGTAGCCAAAAGAGAGAGCAGAGGGAAAATATGGGAGGTCAGGTTTATACCTTCCTACCTTGCCCAGATGGCTGAACTCTCAGCAGGGAGTGGCCACTCAGCAACCCTCCAGCAGGCCATGGATCATCATAAGGCCCCAGCGCATCTGTGGGCTCTGACCCAGGTACCCCACCTCTGCCCTGGTCCACTTTTCACAGTGCGTCATGATGGTATCAGGGGACCATCACTCACCATGTTCTGGGTGTGTAAAACACAGTTGTGACTTTGGCCTGCCCCACTCTCTCTGATTTTAATTTGAAGACCTCCTCCTCCAAGTGGCTCAGATGAGGACAGGCCCCCACTATTTCAAGTCCTATGTTCCAAGATGAGCACATAAGTCAGTGCTAGCCAATCAGAGTGTGCCATTTCCCTGGTCATGATGATTGGTTCAGGGATGAGCATGTGACCCAAACTAGCCAATCAAAGCCAGCCCTGGGACTTTTGCTGGAACTACTGGGAGAGAGGAGCTCTCTTTCATGGGGGTTGCTCATTGGCACTGTGGGCAGCCATCTTTGGCACCACACAAGAAGAGCCTGAGAATGAAACACACAAGGAGGAAAACAGAGGTAGATGATGTATGGAGAGACAGATTCCTGATGGCTTTCTGAGGATCTGCCACCAGCTGTGCCTGATATTAGCTCCACCCTCTGGACTTTTCAGCTCTATGAGCTAATAATCACGTTGCAACCTTTTCTTTGGCCTCAGTCAGTTTAGTTGGACTTCTGTCTTTTGCAAATGGAAGTGCCTTTCCTAATTCAGAATACTTTGCAAAATCTTTTGGCATTTATTCAAGAGTGACCAGGTGCTGGCCTTATGATGAGCACTGGAGTATGCAGAGGTTAAGAAGATGTTGCTCAGCCTCAAGGAACTCCAGTCTAGAACTAGGTGACAAGGTCTAGTTCCCATCCTCAAGAAGGGGATTGAGAGGCAGGTGTCATCCCTTACCAGAAGCAAAGCCCTGGCCTGAGGGCGCCTAGGCTTCAGGATGCCTGGCCTATACCCTCCCTCAGAAGAAAAGGGCATCTTCTCCTGGGGCTCACAGCTCCCCTGTGTAACTTTCAGGTAGGGTCACCAACTGCCCTGCTTTGCCCAGGACTGAAACATTTCCCAGCACATGTGCTAAAACCAGGAAGCCCCAGGCAAACTGGGATGGTTGGTCTCCTTAGCTTCAGGAGGTCCTTAAACTCACTGGAACGGTACACAAAATGTTGTGAGTGTACAGTGCGTCATTTTCCGAAGACAGTGTCTATAGTCTTCATCTGATTCTCAAAGGGGTGAGCAGATCGGAGCCATGACCTTAGGCAAATCACTTATTTCCAGGTTTCAGTTTCCCCTATAAAACAAGACAGACACCACCTGCCCCAAATACTGACTCTCACATTTACCAGATAGCTCTGAAAATCAAGCTAGATAGAAAGGATTCCAAATTCTTGGAATTTTATCTAGAAAAGAACTTCTAGAACAGTTCTAACATGACGACACTAGCTAACATTTTTGAGCCCAAATCATAAGCCAGGCCTAAGCTGAGCTATTTCCACGCACTAATTCAGTCCATAATGCGATTCTCCCCATTTAACAGGTTAGGCAACAAAAAGTGATGAGGTGATTACCATGGCCTCACGGTCAGCAAATAGCAGAGCTGGAATCCACATCCCAGGCAGTTGGGGCTCAGAGTCTACATTTGTTTCCACAGCACAAACATCTCAACACTCAATATGTAAACTCAAGATTCAGGACTTCATGGACATGATCTATGAGATCCTAACAGGTAGCCCAAGATTTGGAAAATGAAGACATTGGGCATTCCCTGGGCTCTTACGATATGCCAGACACAAGGTCCATTCATGTGGATTCTCTCATTAAATCCTCCCAGCAAGTCTGTTTGGTAATTGTTATTCTACCCATTTTGCAGATTAGGAAGCTGAGGCTCAGAGAGGTGAAGCAGCTTCTCCAAGGTCAGGCAGCAGAACAGCATAGCAGGAAATGGCAGCATCCAAGGTGATGGGAGAAGGTGAGATGGAGGAGTAAAATCGTGGAACATCTTCAGAGCCCAACCCTCCCATTTCAGAGTTGGAAAAGCTGAAGGCATTTAACAAGTTGTCCAAAGTACAATGGTAAGCCACAAAGGCAGGATTCAAACCCAGGTTTCCAAACTCCAAGATTCCCAGTTCATTGCTCTTTCTAGATAGTGTAAGAGGAAGTATGTGAAAGCCACAGATAAACCAAGCACATCTTTCCAAAGCATTTGCATTGCCCGATGACAAATAAGTGTTTTATACTAAAACAAATGGGAAGACACTGGGGGCAGCATTTGATTGATCAATTAATTAATTTTTTTTGGAGACAAAGTCTCGCTCTGTTACCCGGGCTGGAGTGCAAGTGGCACGATCTCGGCTCACTGCAACCTCCACCTCCCGGGTCCAAGTGATTCTTCTGCCTCAGCCTCCCCAGTAGCTGGGATTACAGGCATCTGCCACCATGCCCAGCTAATTTTTTGTAGTTTTAGTAGAGATGGTGTTGCACCACGTTGGCCAGCCTGATATTGAACTCCTGACCTCAAGTGATCTGCCCACCTTGGCCTATCAAAGTGCTGGGATTATACGTGCGAGTCACCATGCTCGGCCTAATTTATTTATGTTTAATTTATTTGTAAAGATATAACCTAAAGCCGTAAATGAGTTTCCAGCCTCCCCTGACTTCTAGCAGTATACACTTCCTTTCCATTGCTCTCAGATATTCTCTAGTGGCAAAGTTTGAGAAATACTGAGTTACTTCCCAAAGGCTTGGGCAGATTCTAGATGGGGAAACTGAGGCCCATAAGCGCCTTACTTGTCCAGGTGCAACAATGAGTCCACGGCAGCCTGCAGTCCACTGGACCGCAGTCCTCACCTGCTGTACCTCAGGGCCCAGCCCAGGTGGGGGATCTGGGGCCAAGCTCCCAGCTGGCCAAGGGGATTCTGGGAAGACCATCCTGGCCTTCCAGCCAAGGTTGCACGACTGGGTTCAATATCCCAAATGGCTCTCTCAGGTCTGATGCTCAGGTCCTCCCAAGAAGTGGGGCGCTGGGCAGGACAGGGATGGGGCCATCAGCTGCTGTCACCCACCCTGTAATTTCCTGGACTTTTATCCATTTTCCCCTCAATTATGTGCTGCTCAAAATGGTCCTTTTCAGCTTCCTCACGGGCCCTTGCCTGCTCATGCCTTCTTTGTGTCCCAGGTAATTGCTAGTGACCTTTTCTAAGTGTACTAATTAAAGGTGCCGATTTAATATTATATTTAAGACAAGAAGCCCCGCAATTTTCCAGCTGGGCACATACTCCCCCGCCCAGTGCTGCTCTGCCTCTCTACAGAAGTTGGGCCCAGCCCTGGCTTCTCCAGGAAGCAGGGCTTGTTTCTCCACTAGGGGAGGTTTCCAGCAACCTCTGGTTGTGCTATTCCTACAAGAGTGAGGCCAATCTCTGGGGTTCAGCTCCAGCCCAGTGCTCTTAGTTATAGCCATGCAGGAGAATCATCTCTGGCTGGGGGACCCTGGGGTACACATGCCACACAGGTTTGCTTCCCACCTGAGAAACAGAATATACCTTGCATCTCAGGGCTGGAGAATACCTGGAGTTCCTTTTGTACAAATTTGTGGTAAAACACACAACACATGAAATTTACCACTTCAACCATTTAAAGTACACAATTCAGTGGCATTTGGTACATTCATGATGCTGTGCAACCATCACCACTAATTCCACAAGATTTTCATCATCTCCAAAGGAAACCTCATGCCCACGAACCAGTCACTCCCCATGACTCCCTTCCCCAACCCCTGGCAACCACAAATCCACTTTCTGTTTCTATGGATTCGACTATCCTAGAGATTTTATATGAATGAAATAACACAATATCTGGCCTTTTGTGTCTGATCTCTTTCACTTAGCCAAATGTTTTCATGGTTCATCCATGCTGCAGCATGTATCAGTACTTCACTCCTTTTTAACAGCTGAATAATATTCCGTTGTGTGAATGTAACACATTTTGTTCATTCATTGATCAGTTCACAGCTATTTGTGTTGTTCCCACCTATTGGCTATTGGGAATAATGCCACTATGAACATTTATATACAAGTTTTTGTTCGAACATCTGTTTTTAATTATTTTGGATGTATACTTAGGAGCACAATTGCTGGAACATATAGTAATTCTATGTTTAAATTAATGAGGAACTGCCAAAGTGTTCTCCATGGTGGCTGTATTATTTTACATTCTCATCAGCAATGGATGAGACCTGGTGTTTTTTCAGTGGTAAGGAAGATACCCTGCTATTCACAGGGGCTGGAACGCCCTCTTATGATAGAGAGATGGGAGTTGGCTGGGTCTCCGCAACAGATGCTATTGGTACCCTGCCCTCTATCCCTCAGCACACACATTTCCACACACACCAGCCTGACTGCTAACTGCCAGCACCTGTGAGTGTTCACCCAAGGGGTTCTGGCCATCAGAGACTGCTCCTCCTAAATACAGCACGGCTGGGAAGTGCCGGGAATGGATGCCCCCGTAGCAGAGCTCACCGAGTGATTGTGGAAGATGATAGATAAGGATGACCTTGTCTACCATGATTAGAGCTCAAAAATGTTAGCTATCATCGTCATGTTAGAACCCTCCTAAAAGTTCACTTACAAAAGCTGCTTAGTCTTCTTTTCTAGATAAAATTCCAAGAATTTGGAATTCTTCCTTTCTGGTGGGGTTTTCAGAGCTCTGTGGATAAGGTAGGTAAACAGCCCAGCTCCAGCACCTCTCAAGGGCATAACTCAGCGGTCCGTGTTCTACACTGGCAACTTGGTTGACAATAACACATCTTTAGGGCTTCCTTCCCTTCCTGTCTCACTTCCTCACTCCCTACTTGTGTTTCCTGGAACCTCCTCCCCAGTAAGCTTCTTGCATTTAAGTCCTCTCATCACAAGGTCTATTTCTGGGGAAGCCCAAACTTCCAATGCATGTTTAAGACCGTGCATTGGAACTACTGTACAGCTTTACAATGCAAATTCTCAGGCCCTCTTGACTGGGTTGGCTAGTGGGAAGCCCAGAGTGTAAACTTTTCAACAGCAGCCCCTACTCTCCCTGTAGGAGACACTCACACACAGCCAGGTTAGAAGTCCTGTGGCTGGTTTATAGCAGAATGATATTCGAATATTTAACAACAGGCACAGTACAGACATCAACCAATCAGGAAAAAACACTGGCCATAAACACCCAGACCAGTAAGTACTGCCTGTAAGTCAGCCTGGTTTATGGCTCCCATTTTAGATGCAGAGAAAAGCTCCACCCGTCCCAGGATGATTGAAAGGCCCAGTCTTAGGGCTCCTGGCTCAATCAGTGCGGCAGAGGATTCTATGCACCTGGCCTCTCCTACCCTCACGGGGAAGGGGCATCCAGCTAGGCCAGCCCCTCCACTCTGTGCCACCCAAACCATGCCCAGCCTAACCTCATGGGTGGAAAGCGGAACATTCAAGAACTTAATCACTATGCATATATGTTCATGCCGGCATTCTTTGCAATAGCCAAGAAGGGGGAAGCGATCCAAGTATCTGTCCACAGATGAATGGATAACCAAAACGTGGTAGATACAGCCAATGGAATATTATTCAGACTTAAAAAGAAAGGAAATTCTGACACATGCTACAATATAGATAAACCCTGAGGACATTACGCTTAGTAAAATAAGCCAGTCCCAGAAAGACAAATAGAGTATGGTATGACCCCCCTGATATCAGGTACCTAGAGTAATCCAATTCAGAGACAGGAAGTAGAATGGTGGGTGCCAGGGGTCGGGAAGGGCAGAATGGAGAACTATTGTTCAATGGCTACAGTTTCAGTTTTCAACAGAAAAAGAGTTCTGGAGGTCGGTTATGCAACAGTATCAATGTGCTTAACGCTACTAAACTATACACTTAAAAATGGCTAAGATGGCAAATTTTATGTTATGTATATTTTACTATAATTAAATTAAAAAAAAAAAAAAACTTAAATCGACCATGTCTAAGGCACTAGTGATCTGGCCCAAGATAACATCTGTCACTACATCTCACAGCCTCACTGAGCTGAGCCCCATCTGGCCCCACAGACCTTCTTTCTGTTCCTGAATAGGACGAGTTGGCGGCTGCCTCAGGACCCTTGCCCTGATTGTGCCTTTGGCTGGGAAGCTTCCTACCCTAGGTCACTCCACCTCCATGGCAGCTTCCTCATTATTCACCTCTCAGATCGTGAGTTAGCACCTTGGGGAAGCCTTCCTCAAATTCTCAATCAGCAGAGTCTAGCTAAAGAGACGCCTGGTCACTCAGTGTCCCAAGACTCCAAGTTATTATCTTCACAGTCCTCTCTCTCTGAAAGGATCTGCTTATTCACTAGACTTGCTGACCACTTACCCCAACCCCCTGCCCATCACACAGCACATTCAGCCTGACCTGCCATATTCCTTGTCATATCCCTAAGCCTAACACGGGGATTGGCATCCTGGAGGCACTCAGTAAATAGCCATTGGGTAAATAAATGAATCCTGCTAACAACTGCCCAGAGGTGTTAGGAAAAGACAGCCCCCCAAAGCCATGAAGGTCTATGAGCCACGACAGGAGGAGAGAGTATAGCAAGTTAATTCTTAATTGTGTGCACAAATGGACAGGGGAAAGGATAGCTGATCAAAACCTAGTAACACCCAAATCAGTAGCACTTGGCTTTGGGCCCAGGCAGGAATCACAGCTGTGCAATGACTGGGGGTCCAGTCTCTGAGGAGCCGGCCCTGTACCCCACCCTGGGGGCTATGTACCCCATCTTGAGAGCTGAGTACCCTGTCCCAGGATGTACCCAACCTGGGAGGCCAGGTGTCCTGGTGGAGGTAGGAATCTGCCCAGCAGACTGCTAAGGCCCCTTGGGAGTTGCAAAGCTGGTGGCACATCCTCCACCGTGGCCTCAGCCCTCAGCAGTAGTCCACATCTGCCTTCCAGGCAAGGGGCGGACAATCACAGCCTCCCCTGAGGCCCCGCTGGGCCCATGCTGATCGCTGAGATGACTGTTATTACTATTATTGTTGTTATTTGCACTGAGGGGCAAGGGCTGGGATTGGGCATTGTTGTCACACGGTTTCTGGAAAGCGGTGCCTGCTAGATGAGGGGCGGGCCAGAAACTGGCAGGGCAGCGCAGGCTACAGGGCTTTTTATTTTCTCTAGATGAGAGAAGGATGAAAG